TCAATTCACAATTTACCACATGTAAAAGCTCAACATCACAACATGAGGAACTACCTTCTCAATATCAACATGATCTCCATATGAACATCAAGAGTCACTTATGCAAACCTTCTTTCAAAACACGTTAACCATGCTCACTACCATTTCATAAAGGCAACTATACACATAACACAAATAAGTGCAAGTTAAGCAAAAGAGCAGTTTTCTCTTGAAAACTCATTTTAGCATGAACATTTACCATAAATATGCACATAGTAGAAAAGCAAGTAAAATTCAACATTATTCATTCTTTTATTTTAAGAGGATTACTAACCTCAAATTTGGCTAGAATTTTGAGGAAAGAAATAAGTATAACGAGACCTCATGTCGGTCTCGGCCTCCCATGTTGCTCCCTTAACTAGGTGATTTATCTATACGACATTTACGGATACCACCTTTTTGTTCCTCAACTTCTTGACTTGGCGATCTAGGATTTCAACCGGAACCTATTCATAGGCAAGGTTCTCATTCACACCTAACCCTTCAATAGGGAGAATGGATATCGGGTCACCTATAAACTTCTTAAGCATGGAGACATGAAATACGGGATGAACTGGGGCTAGTTTACTTGGTAACTTCAACTTATAATTAACCTTCCCAACCCGTTTCACTATCTCATAAGGACCCACATATCGGGGACTAAGCTTCCCTTTCTTACCAAATCTTATCACCTTTTTCAGGATGAAATTTTCAGGTAGACCATATCACCTACTTTAATTCAAGATCTCTTATCCTATTTAAGATTTTTGCCGACTATGAGTTGTTTTCAACCTATCCCTTATCATTCAAACCTTTTCCAATGCTTCATAGATTATTTCGGGACCAAGAAGTGAAGACTCTCCTACCTCAAACCACCCATACGGACACCTACTCTCCTACCATAGAGTGCTTCAAAAGGTGACATGGAAATACTCGAATGGTAGTTATTATTATGATAGAGCTCAATCAATGGTAGGTGATCATCCCAATTACCTTTGAAGTCGATAACACAAGCTCTCAACATGCCTTCTAGGGTTTGGATGGTACGCGCCGCTTGACCATCCATTTGAGGATGAAAATGGTGCTAAGTTTCACTTGAGTACCAACCTTTTTTTAATAGACCTCCAAAAACGAGAAGTGAATTGGGCACCTCTATCTGAAATGATGGAAAAAGGGATATCATGCAAGCTCACAATCACATAAAGGTACAACCTTGCATATTCTTCCGCCGAATAAGTTGATTTGACGGAGATAAAGTGGGAAGATTTTGTCAATCTATCAACAATCACCCATGTTGAGTCATTTTTCCTTCTTGCCCAAGGCAAGCCCACTACTAAGTCCATATTGATATCTTTTAACTTCCAAGTAGGAGCATCCATTACTTGAGTTAGACCACCCGGTCTTTGATGTTCGTCCTTAACTTGTTGACAATTAGGACATTTATCCACAAACTCCGCTATGTCCCTTTTCAAACTATCCCACCAATAAACCTCTTGAAGATCACAATACATTTTGGTGGCTCCCACATAAATAGAATATCGGGGGGAACCATGAGCTTCTTCAAAAAAATTCCCCCTTAGACCATCCACATATGGTACACATAATATACGCATAACATCAATATTTGGCGTTATATATATAGTGTAATTTTTTACCGGACTTCAAGTGAACCCCCTAGGGTCTACCTTATATATATATATATATATAATACATAGAAGAGTGAAGTGATAGGACCATCAAGGGTGCACATATAATTTTATTCTAACAAAAATCCATTAAGAAAGAAAATAAGAAAAATAAATAGTTTTAGGAACATCTTTCTATATATGAATTGGATGATAATCTAGGATAAAATATAATTTAACTCTAATAAAAATCAACCAAGAATGATAAACAAGAAAACTAAATGGTTCTACAAATATCTTTAGTTACCGTTATTACTATTAACTCATTTTCATTTTACTTTACTTTTTTTTCTTTTATGAGTTATTGTGATATCTAATCATCATTATTTAATTTTATTATTACTTTAATTTAATTTTTAAATATTTTTTCTATTTCTTATGCTTACCAAAAATGCATACTTTAATATAAGAATTTATTAGTGTTTCTCATCGTTTCTGGATCTATTTAGTATACATAAAAGGAAATAAAAATTTATAATATACATTAGATTGTATTAAAGAATAAATAAAATAAATTTCAATATTTTAAAACATGTTAAAAATTAACTTTACAAATAAAATGAACATTATGGTGGATTTGCATTTAGTTAAAGTAAACTATAAATGTTTACTAGATTATAAGATAGTAGTGCTTATTAAAGTATATAATTTCACTACTGTCATTATCTATCTTATCATTCTACTATTAATTATCAGTTCGCTACTAACAACAACCATAGTTAGTCACTATTATCAACTACTATACCATAAAATATCACCCCAAAAGTACCAACATCATGAACCAATACCATCTGAAATCGATACACACAATCACCAATGTAAGTCATCACCACCATCAATCGTCATATAAATATTTTATTAATATATTATTAGATAAATTTAGAATTTATTTGAGTTATATTTTTATTTTTTTTTTAAATATAAAATTTAATATATTCAAATATCAAGAAAATGAATAGCTTTATCTCTCTACTATTCAGATCTTAACATCATAATATTTAAAAGAAAAATTACAAGAATATACTATTTTAAGACCTTAATTTAAATAATATTATACTAGCTTTTTTAGTTTCCAATATTAGCATTTTAATTACAAATATGATAATTATTATAAATTTATAGTTAGACGATTTATAACCTATTTTATTGATTAGTGTGCTGATTTTATGGGACTCTTATTTTATCTTTTAATTTTAGAATCACAATCACAATTATGTTTGGATGCATCTCTATTGTCTCTTGGGTACATCTCTCTCCTCTAGAGTACATCTTTATCCCCTCTTGAATACATCTCTATTGTCTCTTGGGTACATCTCTCTCCTCTCGAGTACATTCATATTCCATTTCAAATATAACTCTCTATTCTCGAATTCATCTGTGAGGTATCTGTCTACAAATTTTCTAAATAGCAATGTATTATGACCCATGTATCCAAATGTCTGCTGATAAGTCTAAATTTTTTTAATTCTAAGAAGTTTTTAGTAATTTGAAAAAGAATAGAGTATAATGTAATTAACTCTTAAAACTATGAAAATTTATATTATTTTAACTTTAATTTATGTGACATATGTTTCTCTGTAGTCAATTTCAAAAATGATGTATTAATATATTTAATAACATTTTGAATTTAAAATATACATTTTATTCTTAGTAAGAAGATTTATAGTCATATGAATATGTATGGTTTGTTTTAGGCAACGCATTTTAAAAGTATTTTTTTTTTAAAAAAAACTTCATTTTAAGTCAAATAAACATTACATAAATCGAAACGGAGTGAGTATAAGTTTTAGTTAAGTTTTTCTTTTAGCCGTTTTGTTGTTTAACAAAATTTTAAAATGAAAATGCTAAACATTTTTCACAATTATATTTTATAGTATTTAATCAATATCTTGTTAATAATAACCAAAATTTTAATATAAATAAGGTAATAAAGTAACTTAATTCTGAAATTCAAGTATGAGAAAATATTTATTTATTAATTGTAAATCATTCATAATCTATATTTAATATGCTTCTTACTCTCGACGAATGACACTAATTTATCATAATTCAATATTGTAAAAGTAGAAATCAAGACTAAAAAGTGCAACTCAATATTATATGAAGTTCAATCTGTAATTTATCTATTGTGGAAGTTTCCTAAGTATATGATATATAGTTCTCTGACAAGTTAATTTTTGATCCCATTATTTATACAATTTCAAAATTTGTCCCGTTAATTAGTTATGTATTTTCTTAAACTACAATTATGTGTCATTATTTATCTATTATTACATTATCAACTCTATATTCTTCTTTTTTTATCTCTTTATAATTGTGCTATTTTTGTTTTCTTATTTAAGTCACAATTTTTAAAGATAAAATAAATATTATGTTGGAGATAAAATAGGTTAAATGAAATTATACGAATACTTATGTTTAAAAAACATTATATATAATTAAAAAGGACACATATATGGAATTAAGACAAAATAAATATTATTTTAAAGGTAAAATAGGTTAAATAAAACTATATGAATACTTATGTTTAAAAAAATATTATATATAATTAAAAAGAAAATTACATATATGGATGATTGTAGGATTATATTGAATATGTTGTAGTAGTAATAAACATAGATGAACGATTTGAATTGTCAAAAAATAGAAAAGTAAATATATTTTTTGCATTATTATTATAATCAAACAAATACAAATTATTTTTAATAATAAAATAAAATAAGTTTGTGGGCCATAAATGATACAAAAAAAATTGTGACTCTTGAAAAGGAAAATTGTATTGTTCTAGAAAACTATTTAGACAATTAATTATACAATTATAAATTTAAAACTTTATCCATAATAATATTTAAAATTACAAACTTTTAAGAGATATATTGTTTTTGAAAAGAATACATACAATTTATTAAAATTTAATATTCAAATTCAGACTTCATATAAATGCAAATGGACGACGCCTCGTTGCCTACTTTATATTATAAGATTTGTCTTCCTTAAAAAACAACTAGTGATTGTCGCATAATTTAAGAATGAGTTGTTTCCAACTTTAATTATAAAAATTACAGTACTTGAATAAAACTAATCGTTATTTAGCTAAAAGAAATATTATCTGGTATCCCTCCATTTTCATTTTAATTGTAATGATAAGGTTTAGCATAATTCTTAAAAAATAAATAACAAGAAATATTATTCAATCATTAAATCCTTTATTAATTCTCTAATCTTTATTTATATACATGCCTTGCTAGAATAAGTAATGTTAAAAGATAAAATTGAAAAAAGGTAATTAATTCTCTATTGATTGTTTAAAGGCAAAAGGGTCAAAATTATCCCTTAATTTTGTTTTATTTGTTAATTTTACCTCTACTATTAAAAACAAGTTATTTTTTGTTCTTGCCATCAATAAACTTAACAAATATACCCCTCGTTGAATGGAAAGCCCCAAATCAATTTAAATTATTCAATTTCACTTAAATGATTCAATTTTAACTCTACCCGACCAACTTAATAATATAACCCATTTCCTTTCTTTTACCATTATCAACTTTATTTTTCCCATCACCACTACCACCAAAGCCCACAACCTTCTCCAAAACCTCCTTCGCCACCTCTCCACTTGAGCAAAGCACCCGCTGTTATATTAACCTGTATTTATAAGGTTAATCAATAAACAGAAACAGAAATAATATGAAGCAGAAAATATATAAAATACAAGAAGTAATTAGAGTCCACAAAAATTACTATGTGTCATTAAGAAATTTAATCCCTCACTGTACCCAAGGTTATGGATTAATTTCTCCCAAGATAAAACAGATTAAACCTGTTAAAGAAATAGCGGTACCTCAAATTTCTTTAACTTCAGCGAACTTCAGAACAACAACAAGTCACACAGACTCACCCGATCACACTTTGATTTATTTGAGAGAAAAATATATGCAGAGAAGGAAAATTTCAGTGTTTGAAAAATAAAAAATTGACTTCTTTTTATAGCCATTTTCAGCAAGAAACGTATCTGTTCAGACCATAAAGTTGTGTCTTTTGGAAAAAATAACAACTTTTTGGAAAAATGTGTCTGTTAGAAAAATAACGGCTTTTCGGAAAGTAATGATTTTTCGAAAAGAGTAACAACTTTTCGGAATGTTACCGTTACCCGCAAATTTATAAGAGATAATATTAACAGGATTTATTTGATATAACAAAAACTGATTAAATAAATTTTGTCCAAAAAATTTATCAATCAATCACATCATTTGCCAAATCCAAATCCGAAGCCGAAGCCGAGCGAGCGACGGCGCGAGGGGGCATCTTTTTCTTAGCTCTTTAAGAAGTAATGGAAAGGACAACAATTTCTCTTTCTTTTGCCGATATGGGAGAAATGACTTTTCATTTTCACTTTGCAAATGACTTTTCATTTTACCTCCAAATTAGTTCCCTCATTTTTCATATTCTCTGTTTTCTTTTTCCATTCACACTTTCTAAACCCACCAATCCCCCACATGAATGAGGAAGGCTATTGTTAAAACATATGCATGAAAAAACTTGTGTGTCTTGTAGGTAAAAGTTAATCGCATCTGGATAAGTAGGTTTCCCTTTTAAATTTTTGTAGTGAACATATATCGGATATGCTCGGTCAATCAGTAGATTTGATATCTTTGAACCGTCAAGCATTGGTGTATACCTAGACAACATATGTCACACAATCAACCCTTGAACTGTTCTTAGTTCTCATTGTTTTGTTCGTTTCAGCTATGAACACATCTTGGATAGTAAGTGCTTAAAGAACTGACCTTACCGGATTCTCCTTGAAGCGGCTTACACTTCACATTTACATATGTGATTTATAAATGTGTTATCCAATAGATACACCATTTGATATTCCCTGTATCAAACTTAGAAACCATTAAAAAGTCCTTATGTCTTTATCCTTGTTACTAAACATTGTCTCATCATGAGAATGAACCATAAAATAATATTTTTTCTTGACAATGTTGAACCGTCATCAATGACTTTGTTTTATCTCCTTGAACCTAGATCTTGGGATCTCAAGTCTTCTAGGCAGAGTTACCGCCACAATGACTTGTTATCGGCCATAGACCCTTTCTCGTCGATGATTTCTCAACTCTCTCTCTATTTAGGCCTTTTGTAAGTGGATCCGACACATTATCTTTTGACTTCACATAGTCAATTGTGATAATTCCACTAGAGAGTAGTTGTCTCACAGAGTTATGTCTTCGTCTTATGTGACGAGACATGCCGTTATACATAATGCTTCCAGCTCTTCCTATGCAGCTTGACTATCACATTGTATACATATAGGGGTCATTGATTTGGGCCAAAATTGAATATCTTCTAAGAAATTCCAGAGTCATTCAGCTTTTTCACCTGCCTTGTCTAAAGCAATGAATTTAGACTCCATTGTTGAGCGAGCTATACATGTTTGTTTGGATGATTTCCAAGATAGTGCTCCTCCACCAATAGTAAAAATGTATCCACTTGTGGATTTTGTTTCAGTTGACCCAGTAATCCAATTTGCATCACTATATCCTTCAAGAACGGTTAGATATTTGTTGTAATGTAAAGCATAGTTTTAAGTGTCATTTAAGTATCCCAAAACTCTCTTCATTGCCAACCAATGACTTTGATTAGGATTACTTGTGTATCGACTCAGTTTACTGATAGAGCAAGCTATGTCTAGTCGTGTACAATTCATGACATACATTAAGCTTCCCAATACGCTAGCATAGTCCAATTGAGACTGACTTTCACCTTTATACTTTGCAAGATGAAAGTTTACATCAATTGGAATCTTTGCCCTTTTAAAATTCAAAGATTTGAATTTTTCAAGTATCTTTTGAATATACTGAGTTTGAGACAATGCTAGACCCTTAGGAGTTTTAAGAATTTTAATTTCTAATATCACATCAGCAACTCCTAGATCTTTCATATCAAAACTTACTAGCGAGCATACGCTTTGTAGATTTTATATTAGCAATGTCTTTGCTCATTATAAGCATCTCATCTACATATAGGCATAAAATGACTTTTTGATTTGGAGTATCTTTAATGTAAACACATTTATCACATTCATTGATCTTAAATCCATTTGACAACATTGTTTGTTCAAACTTTGTATGCCATTGTTTTGGTGCTTGTTTTAGTCCATAAAGTGACTTAATAAGTTTGCACACTTTCTTTTCTTTACCAGAAAGTACAAAACCCTCAGGTTGTTCTATGTAAATTTCTTGTCCAGCTCTCCATTTAAGAAGGTTGTTTTCACATCCATTTGATGAATTTCAAGACTGTATACTGCAGCTAGTGCAATTAACATCCGAATTTATGTAATCCTAGTCACTGGAGAGGATGTGTCAAAACAATCAAGACCTTCTTTTTTTCTAAAACCTTTGACAACAATTCGTGCTTCATATTTGTCAATAGTTCCATCATCTTTCATCTTCCTTTTAAAGATTCATTTTGAACCCAAGGGTTTGTTCCCTGGAGGAAGATCAGCCAACTCCCAAGTATGATTGCTTAAGATTGATTCAATTTCACTATTAACAGCCTCCTTCCAACAGGTTGAGTCGCTAGATAACATTGCTTCCTTGAATGTTTGAGGCTCACTTTCAAGAGAAATGTTACAAAATCATATCCAAATGAAGTAGATGTCCTTTGACGTTTACTGCGTCTTGGACTTTCTTCATTGGGTTCATTCTCTTTTGGTTCTTCTCTGGGTTGTTTAGACCCCCTACTAGATGACTCAAGTCTAGTTGTATATGGATAGATATGTTCAAACAATTCAGCACTATCTGATTCCATTACTGTATTATCATGAATATACAAATGTTCAGACTTATGAACCAAAAATTAACATGCCTTACTGTTTGTGGCATATCTAATGAATACACAATCCACAGTCTTAGGCCCTATTTTTACCCTCTTGGGTATAGAAACTTGGACTTTGGCTTGACACCCCCACACTTTGAAATATTTCAAGTTGGGTTTTCTACCTTTTCATTTCTCATATGGAATTACATTTGTCTTTGAGTGAGGCACTCTGTTAAGTATTTGATTTGTTGTAAGGATAGCTTCCCCCCACAAGTTCTGTGGTAAACCTGAACTTATAAGTAATGCATTCATCATTTCTTTTAAAGTTCGATTTTTCCTTTCTGCAATTCCATTAGACTGAGGAGTGTAGGGAGCAGCAGTTTGATGGATTATTCGATTTTTTAAACATAATTCTGCAAATGGAGACTCATATTCTCCACCTCTATCACTTCTGATCATTTTGATCTTTTTATCTAACTGATTTTCAACTTCAGTTTTATATTGCCTAAATGCATCTATTGCTTCATCCTTACCATTTAGCAAATAGATATAACAATATCTACTGCAATCGTCAATAAAAGTTATGAAATACTTTTTCCCACCACGTGATGGTGTTAACTTCATGTCACAAATATCAGTGTGAATCAATTCTAAAGGATTTGAATTCCTTTCATCAGATTTATAAGGATGCTTAGCATACTTAGATTCAACGCAAATTTGACATTTTGGTTATTGCTCAAATTTTGGCAAAATATTTAAGTTAATCACTTTTTGCAAGATTTTGTTATTAACGTGTCCCAAACGTTCATGACATAAACATTTAGACTCAAGCAAGTAAGAAGAAGCAAAATCTTTATTCATATCAACTGCAATTACATTGAGTTTGAAAAGGTCATCACTAAGGTAGCCTTTTCCTACATACATATCATTTTTGCTTACTACTACTTTATCAGAAACAAATACACATTTAAATTCATTCTTGGTCAGAACTAGAATTTAAACTAAATTCTTTTCCAATTGTGGAACATATGAGACCCTATTTAAAGTCACCACCTTGCCTGATGTTATCTTTAATAGGACTTTGCTAGTTCCTTCCACCTTTGCAACAGCGGAGTTTGCCATAAACAATTTTTCATCTGTAAGTGCTGGAGTATATGATGAAAATAATTCTTTGTTGTCACAAACATGACATGAGGAACCAGAATCTATCCACCATTCTCTTGGGTTTCCAACCAAGTAACATTCTGAAAGCATTGCACAGAGATCGTCCATTTCTCCTTTGGATTCAGCCAAGTTTGCTTGATCCTTCTTTTTCTTGTCCTTCTTAGGACCCCGACATTCAGTAGCCTATGACCATGTTTACCACAGTTGAAGCAATTTCCATTGAATTTCTTCTTAGGAGGATTGCTTTTTGGACCAGATGCTTTCTTTCTTTTCTTTAATTTTATGGGATCTTCTTCAACAAAATTTACTCCAGATATTGCTGAATTACCACGTGACCTCTTTTTTGTAGCCTTATTATCCTCTTCGATTCTCAACCTTACTATGAGATTTTCAACAATCATCTCCTTGCGTTTGTGTTTCAAGTAGTTTTTGAAGCCGCGTCAAGTATGCAATTTACAAGGACACCTTCAAGATGTTAAAAAATGCCTTCCCAAGTATCAACTGGCCTGCAAACTGGACAGCATTGATCCAAACAAGCGAGAAATGTGTTCACAACATTGAAGTGTACAAGGTAGCATGGTTTAAGCCTCCAGACCAATGGATCAAAATTAATACAGATGGAAGTGCTCTCACCAATGAAGGAAAAATTGGGGCTGGAGGTATCATCCGAGATAAAGAAGGCAAAATGATAATGGCTTTCTCAACACCTCTTGGAGAAGGATCGAACAACCAAGCTGAAATTGAGGCTGCTCTCTTTGGACTGACTTGGGCTTTTGAATTAGGTTTCAAAAACATTTTACTTGAGTTAGACTCCCAATTAGTGGTGCAATGGATTTCAAACAAAATAGCACCACCTTGGAATCTTACCAATCAGCTTGAAAGACTTCAACAAATCATCATACAAACTCAGAATTTCAGATGTTCCCACATCTTTAGAGAAGCAAATTGGGTCGCAGACGCACTTTCAAAACATAGCCACAACAATACAGCTCCTCAAGTCTACGTCCACAGCAACCAACTCCCAAAAGAAGCACATGCCTACTATCAAATGGATCTGATGGACATGCCAAGCTTTAGAAGAAAGAAGACCAAAATGATTTTTGATCCTCCTTGATTATAGTACCTTTTCAACTTAGCTATATGTAAATAATATAGCTACTTTGAATAGGACATAGGTTAGTTAGTTGATAGGCTTTCTTGTAAAGGGAGAGTCTCCCTAATTTATGCTTCCTAGATACTATGTAATGAGAGGAGTCCTCTCCTTAGGTTTGTAGTATTTTGGTTTCATCTTTCATTGTAAGGGGTGGAGTTGACATTCTTGAAAGTCAACTCCAAACCATCTTAGGATTGGAGGTTAGGTTTATGCCCCCCTCCGTGTATTTTGTTTTTTGTTATTAATGGTAAAGCCTGGGGGTGTTGCTCAGCCCCTACCCCTCCAAGGGTAATTAAACAAAAAAAAAAGTAGTTTTTGAAGTCCTTCCATAGTTAAGGTAATTTTTCAATAATTGCAGCCACTTGAAAGGCATCATTCACAATCAATCCTACATTAAAGATTATGTGAGTATTAAGGGAAAACTTAATATTTCTAACATAGGCATTAAATAAATTTATACCTTCAGCAAGGAGATCATGGATCATGACCTGCAATTCTTGAACTTGGGTGACGATGGTCTTACTGTCTATCATCTTATAGTCCAGAAATTTTACCACAGTGAATTTCTTCATTCCGGCATCTTCTGTTTTGTACTTATTTTCTAAAGCATCCTAGAGTTCTTTTGAGGTTTTGACATTGTTGTACACATTGTACAGATCATCTTACAGGCCACTCAGAATATAATTTTTACACAAAAAATTTGAGTGTGTCCATGCTTCTGTTACCAAGAATCCTTCATCAGGCGGAGTTTCATCTGACATAACAGGAACATTCTCATTAATGAACTTCTGCAGACTCAACGTAGTGAGATAGAAGAACATCTTTTGCTGGCATCTCTTAAAGTCGACTCAAGAAAACTTTGCAGGTTTCTCAGTCGGCGCTAAGAAAGCATTTGAACGATTATGTGTAATCGATGTTGTTGCAGCACTTACTGTTTCAGCATTTGTTTGACTTGAATTAGTCATTTTTTTCTATCACAAATGACAGATAAGTTAAGTATATGAAATACTAACAGTAAAGAACAAATCTATACACAAACTGTTTCTGATTTAACGATAAAGTTTTTATGTTCTTTTAATCGTTAATCGAATGAATTTTTAAAAATTCAAGCAGAGTAGAAAATCATAAAGGTTTTAATCTCCAGAAACCTCAAATACAGAAACTTTTAAATTTCTTAAGATTGTTATATTAACCTATATTTATAAGGTTAACCAATAAACAGAAACAGAAATAAGATGAAGCAGAAAATACATAAAATACAAGAAGTAATCCGAGTCCACAGAAACTACTGTGTGTCCTTAAGAAATTTAACCCCCTCACTGTACCCAAGGTTATGGATTAATTTCTCTCAAGATAAAACGAATTAAACCTGTTAAAGAAATAGCGATACCTCAAATTTCTTTAACTTTAGCGAACTTCAGAACAACAAGTCACACAGACTCAGTCAATCGACACTTTGATCTATTTGAGAGAAAATTATGTAGAGAAGGAAAATTTCAGTGTTTGAAATATCGAAAATTGACTTCCTTTTATAGCCATTTTCAGCAAGAAACGTGTCTGTTCAGAGAAATCTGTTCAGACCAGAAAGTTGTGTCTTTTGAAAAAAAAATAACAACTTTTCAGAAAAATGTGTCTGTCAAAAAAATAACGGCTTTTCGGAAAGTAACGACTTTTTGGAAAGAGTAACAACTTTTCAGAATGTTACCGTTACCCGCAAATTTATAAGAGATAATATTAACAGGATTTATTTGATTTAACAAAAACTGATTAAATAAATTTTGTCAAAAAAATTTATCAATCACATCATTTGCCAAAGCCGAAGCCAAGCGACGACGACAACGGCGCGAGGGGGCATCTTCTTCTTAGCTCTTTAAGAAGTAATGGAAGTTTTTCCTTATATAAGGACAACAATTTCCCTTTCTTTTGCCGATATGGGAGAAATGACTTTTCATTTGTACTTTGCAAATGACTTTTCATTTTTCCTCCAAATTAGTTCCCTCATTTTTCATATTCTCTATTTTCTTTTCCCATTCACACTTGCTAAACCCAACACCCTCATCAATACCCAATTCTCAACTAGGCAAATTTGTCCTAAGCAACTTAATTTCTTCAAAATCCTTCAAATGTTGTGCATCATCAATACCCAATTCCCCACTAGGCAAATTGGTCCTAAGCAACATAATTTCATCAAAAATCCTTCAAATGTTGTGTAGGGGAGGGATGTGTAACAAAAACAAAATCAAATAAGATGAAATATATAATAAAAATGGAAAACTAGTATAAGCACATGGATGCACTTTGTTGCCCACCTTGGAAGCTATTTCCTTGTTCTTGTAAGCTGCTATAAGTCCGCATAGCAGAATTTATTCAGATCCACACTAGCAAGAGTCATGTTCCAAACAATTGCATACTTGCAATGTTGGAAAGGAATGTCAATCAGATAATAGAGGAAAACAAATATTATGAATCCATCAGAAAATAACCACATAAATCATGTTAGGAAAGATTGGAGAGGTGGTGGTTCGGCGCTGGTGGTGGAGGAAATCTTGTAGAGGGTGATGCCCTTTGGTGGAGGTGGAAAAACAAAGTTAATTTGGATAAAAGAAATGAATTATATTAATAAGTGGATCAGGTCGGATTAAAATTCAATAATTTAAGTAAATCAGATAATTTTAATTGATTTAGGACTTTCCATTCAAGAAGCGGTATATTCATTTAGTTTATTTACGTCAAGGGTAAAAATAATTTATTTTTAACAGTAGGGATAAAATCAATCAATAAAACAAAGTTGAGGTGTAATTTTGACCCTTTCCCCTTGTTTAAATTGATAATTATTTCCTCTTTTTATATTAATTGATCAACTTATTACAAATAGTTTTCATATATTAGTTGATCACTATATTAAATCAAGAAGATATTTAATTTATTTTTTCCTATTGCCCTCGCAATTATTTCTTTTTTAAAATGTTCACATTTCTTTATAAAATATACAAAACGTTTTTTAAGGCATAAATAAGTAACATTATCTTCTTATTTTTCAAAAGGCACCTTAACTTTGTTGTATTTACAAAGGTATATAATACTTTTGTGGGCTAATAGAATGTCCGCAAAATTAAAGATTTATTTTTGAAAATTTAGAACAATTTTAGTGGTGATTTTATTCTTTTTTTACTAAAAATTGAAATTACGTAATGCATAAATATGACATTTAACTTGAGCTCAATTAATTTACTATGACCTTTAATTTTGAGTGTGTACAAGTAGACATTTAAACTTGCCTACAATTGAACAACTAAAGATATTCGTCCTACATAATGCTTAAATGATAATTGTGTCCTACATAACGTCTTATATATATTATGTCATATAGGATATATATATATACTTTTTTAGTTTTATATAAATTTAAATTTCTATTTACATACATCTAAAAATAAAGATCATACAATATCAATTGATACTATGGTAAAAATATCTTATTTATGTATTACCAAAAAAATGATAGATATGACCAGAGTATGTCAAAATCTCATTTTACCATTCCGTGGGAAAAGATGCATCTAATTTTGCTTTTCAGGAGAAAAGTCTTGGATGGCCCCCCTCCCCCCTCCCCCTCCCCCGAGGAAAACCGCAGACAAAGGAAAATTACCCTTTGACAGCGGCAATTCACCTATATATATATTCTACAAATTGCAGTACTACATAGAACCGTAGTCCATTTTGCTCCAACTTCAAAGAGAATTGAAATTGGGAAATCTGATATGTCTGGGAAGATTATGCATGCTGTTCAATACCACTCTTATGGCGGTGGAGCTGCTGCCTTGAAGGTATTTTCACTTTCTGCTCTTCTTTTCCTTTATTCATATCAAAATTGGCTCATTTCTCATTAGAAGAAAATTGCAGGAACAGTTGTTTTGAGATAAACTCTATAAAATATTTTATTGGCCATCGGACTGTCGAATTGGCTGATTGTCACTTCAATAGTGGAATAATCTAGTTTGATTTTCTGCTTCACTTGTTTACGTTTCTGTAGTTAAGGGAAAAGGGATAAGCGTAATAACATGGAGTGTATGAAGCTTATGAAGAGAGCTTGCTTGGAAATAACTTTTAAATTGAGCACTAGGAGAGTGCTACCTAGCTTGGAAGTAACTTTTAAATTGAGTGTTTAGTTTGGGGGAAAGAAGATAAATAAAAAAGAAACAACTCAATCGACCATGAAGGTGTTTCTCCTAGGTAATTTATCCATATTTAAGTAACGATTATGCTCGAATTGATCTTCTGAGTACAAAGTTGAGTGTAGTATACATATAAAATCTCATCTGATGTTTAGTGAGTAAAGTGTTTCTTTGTGAACATTTGGATTTTGAGTCCTAATGTAAATATAGTTCTTGATTTTCACATTATGATTCCACAAAGTTGAACTTTCAAAGATTTGTTTGGTGTCCGTAATAAAGAGAAGGAAGGCTATACTATGTGATCAGATGGACCTTACTGCATCTATTTAGCATACTGAATTTTATGGTTGAGTAGTGATTGCAATTATTTGCCATATTATCTTGTCTTAGTCCTGTTTGCTGTAATTTGTTTTAAACACTTCTGCTAATGAGGCTGCTTACTCAGTAGTAGCAATACTACCACTAATATTAAAAACCTTTTTGATTGTGTGTACATCTTTGTTTCTTGCAGCATGTGGAAGTTCCTGTCCCTACTCCGAATAAGGATGAAGTCTTGGTAAAAGTGGAGGCTACAAGCATAAATCCTCTTGACTCGAAAATTCAGAAGGGCATGCTTCGTCCATTTCTTCCTTCCAAGTTTCCTTTTATTCCTAGTAAGTTCAGTCAACTAGACATTTTGTTAGAATTTCCTTGCACTGTGTTTTTAGTGCTTTTTGGTTTTGGTTTACAATCGCCTTGTGTTTCATGTTCTCAAATGTTTTTCGCATCAGCCTTAGTATAAGGATCTCTGTCTAAGTGTTCTCAAACACTGTATGCGACCAATCAATAAGCATCTCCTTTGACAAGTTAACATAATTTTCTTCTTGTTTCCTTTTCTAGACCTGGGCTGATATAATAGAGAATTTCTTTTGGGTGGGAGATGGTTGTTCTTTTCTGGAATATTTACATATAACTCCACATACAGTGTGTATTAGTCAATAACTTATGTTGAAGCTGCATGGAAAAAGGGGAGATTCTTTCAAAAATTTCACAGCAATTGGGATCTAAGTTGCTCGGACTTGAATGCTGATCTAGAAGTCGGATCCTTCATGATCTGTTTTTTAAGATTTGGGGATATGGATCCATGTATTGATTCGAGTTCGGGGATTGCCAAAAAATAATTAAAATACCTGGAAACAGAGTTATAAAACTTGAATTATGAGATAGTGTGTGGAGAACTTGAGGAGAATCGAGGAAGGAGATTAAAGTATAGGGGTGACAGAGAAATTTCTTTATAAAAGGTATTCCTTTCTTCAATTTGACCTTAGCTTTTGTATTGATTACTGAAATCATTAAAACTGTCCGGACTTTCCCCACCGATTTTGGTAGAAGTACCCAAAGTCGGCTGACCAAATCGGACACGGATCCCACACCTGCAACCATGTTGTGTCGACACGGGTGCGGCACCAAAAGTGATGAGTCCAAGCAACTTAGATTGGGATAACATGAATAGCAGGAAATGTAGTTAACTAGTAGAAAGGAATACATTCTGCTATGGAGTAATTTCCCAAATGCATTGTAATATGCATTTTATTCTTGTTGGTTTACTATCCTCTAAACCGATTTTGGTTGTAACAGCTACCGACGTGGCGGGAGAGGTTGTTGAGGTAGGATCTAATGTAAAAAGTTTCAAGGCTGGTGACAAGGTTGTGGCTATGCTCAGTACCAAGGTTAGTCCAATTCTTCTCAAATGTTTCATTTCGCTAGGTCTCTCTTACATTTTGGAACTTGGTTGAAACTTAGTTGGTGATGGGCCTCCTCAGGCTGTATATTTGTTTTTCCTGGATGTTGTTTTGGCTGCCTATATGGTTCAATGTTACATAATTTTCTTTTTGTTTTTTCTTTTTGGTGGCCAAGTCCCCTCATTCAAACCCTCCTCCCCATGGGCTTGCCTACAGTAGTTTTCCAACTGACTTGAATCTTAGTATTTTGGTTGGAAGTGGAGGCACCATGACTGGTGCAACCTGCTCGTCTTATCTTTGTAGTATTTCCTCTCATTTGCTAAATCATTCCACTTTGAACAGTAATGTGGTAATATGGTAATCTATCCTTTATGTTTGATGTATTTTCATGAGCGTTGATACAGAGTGGAGGTGGATTGGCTGAATATGTGGTACCTAAGGATAGTTTGACTGTTTCAAGACCCGCTGAAGTATCAGCTGCAGAAGGTGCAGGTCTTGTTATCGCAGGTCTTACAGCTCTTCAGGCCCTCGTCAATCCTGCTGAGGTTAAGCTTGATGGAACTGGACCCCGGAAGAACATTCTAGTTACGGCTGCTTCGGGTGGTGTAGGTCACTATGCTGTTCAATTGGCAAAACTTGGTAACGCCCATGTTACTGCCACCTGTGGAGCCCGCAACATTGATTTTGTGAAGAGCTTAGGAGCAGATGAGATTCTTGATTACAAGACTCCAGAGGGAGCTGCTCTTAAGAGTCCATCAGGCCAAAAATATGATGCAGTGATTAACTGCACAACAGGCATCCCTTGGTCTACCTTTGAGCCTAATTTAAGTTCAAGTGGAAAGGTGATCGATCTAACTCCTGGAGCTAGCTCCATGTTGACCTTTGCAGTAAAGAAATTAACCTTCTCAAAGAAGCAGTTGGTGCCATTTCTTGTAAATGCCAATAAGGAAAACCTGGAATTGCTTGTTAAGCTTGTGAAGGAAGGGAAGCTCAAAACAGTGATTGACTCCAAATTTCCTCTGAGCAAGGCTGAAGATGCTTGGAGCAGGAGTATCGACGGACATGCGACAGGAAAGATTTTGGTGGAGCCATAAAGTAGTGATCTACCATATTATGTTATTATACATACGTGTGTTATAAAAGATTTGTGAGGCTTGTGCATTATGACCAGTTAAATCTATTCAGCTGCAACAACTTTTATTTGTCTTGTATGCATATGCAGCTTGTCAACTGTTTTTTATTTTTATTTTCATAATGCTGTTCGATTAAGTTTGTCCTAGTTCTCTTTGCATTTTGGCAATCATTAATTTTCTGGATTGGGTTCAAGACTGATGCTAAATGGTAAAGCAAACAGTTAAATTGAAAATTGACATTTTCTTAGTGGTGAGTAGATTTTAAATCTCGACTGTCGCCCAAAATTATGACTCACAGACTACCGTCAGAATTGATGGCTACAATCATATTAATTAGTCAATGAAAACATAATCTCAAACTAGTTGGTGTTAGTCTTGTGAATTATCTAGAACTATATACTTTATTGAACCTAGAAGTCAAACCATTGTCTTCCAAATGTAAATAAATCGTATTAATTGACTTCCAAATGTGAACAATAATTGAATGATTACTTTTAAAAGTTAAGTGTTGATGATAGTGTTTAGCGATAGTTTTTCGTAGAAGCTTTTGAAAAAGAGAAGTGTTTGAATGGTTGCTTTGCGAATTCATTTTCATGTTGAAAACAACCTTTACATAATAAAGGGCTTTGCAACAATAATTGTATCTCAATTTTAAATGATTTGGGATCGGCTAGATAATTTTTTATTGAGTATATATCATCTAAAAGTTAAAAATCCTTGTATTTTAATTTGAAAATATTACTTATTCATAAGTAGATAATGACATCACATCGCCATTCGATTTAACATGTGACACAAAACAACTTAATTCCCTCTAAAGGGTGGTAAATTGGTTAAAATTTATAGTTATTGACGCAGTTTAATTTATTTTATTTTAAATGGATTGGGTATCTCATTATTCAAAAGTGAATTGACTCATGTTATCCATTATACAATATGAATAATATATGGGTATAATACATGGAAACTATTACCATTTAATTTTAGTGTGCAAAAATCGACATTTAAGTTCGTATAAAATTGAACAAATAAAAAAAATTGTGTTGCATGTCGTCCTACATGATAGTTCCCAAAATTAGTGATCATAGATATCAGCTGAAATCAAGGTAAGAGCCAGGTTTATGTATATATCTTTCTTAAAATATGTAAATATGTACGAATTCTCAAAAGTCCATTTATTAAAGTTGTGTTTGGTATAATTGTTATTTTATTTTCTCATATTTGATTAACTTTGTCCTCATTTATTGTACTAAATGGAGGTTTGCATTTGAATGCTTCTGACTCTTAGCTTTCAAGTGTATTTATTTTTATTAAGAATTAAGTACTTAATTAGTATGAATAGTGTTAGTAAAAAAACTTACAACATAATAAAATTGCAAAATTACAATTGAAAATAAAATGAAGAAATTAATCTCTTCAGGTTGAGGCGCTGATATCTCGCTCTCTTTAAGGAGATTCAAAACTGCAGCAAATGTTTTCACCGGTCCAACAGTAATCCTCTTTGACTTGTCCCCTCTAGAATACAATAGCTTTCACAAAATATAACTCAACAACTCTGGACAAGAGTTGAGTCGAAAGCTCCACAAAAAAAAAACCTCCCTTCAACCAATAAGAACTCTCTTTTATACTAATTCTTTCACTCTTTGTTTTCTCTTGTGTTTTGTGTATCCCAGACCAAATGAAGACCACCACTATTTATACTACAAGAAGTCTTCCTAGCGATGAATAGGAAGATAATTGAGGTAGTAAATAGTGAAGATAATGGCCTTAGGAGTTTCATAGGTTACAATAGGAGTTACATAGGTTACATAGGTTACAAAGAGTAATGGAGGAATTAAGAATGAAATAAAATGATGGACAACCAATGCTATTGGATGATGTAGAAGTTATCCATTCCAATGTTTATTGAAATGTTTTTATCTCACAATGAATTCAACTAATAAAGCAAAAGTAATGACATTTCATGGCTACCAAGTCAAAGATGAATAACATGATTAAATTGGTAGTTTAAAACTCAAATGCTTACCAATGGTCATTCTTATAATTCCAAAATAAAGCAATTTAATATGTTAAATATTAATATTAAAATGCTAATAACTTAACAATCCCCCACTCATTTCAATATTTAGATAAGAGAGTATCTCAGTTGAAGGAAGACTACTATGCATAATGAAGGTGTGCTCTGCATTGAACCTCTACTTAATGAAACAGTAACATTTACTCCAGAGTCGTAGTGGTCTCAGACTTGAACTATGACTGCTTAAGGGAAATAAAATATCACTTCTCACACATAATAATCAAGGTGTTGACATGAGCTTTAACAGTCGGCACGTTATGGCCATGTGCTATCCCGGTTTAAGTGCATTTGAGAATAAGCCCCATTCTCATAGGAAGCGACCTACTTCGACACATCACATAGGTGAAATCTGTCGAGAATGCTCCTGTAAGATTAACACTCCACCCATATGGGCTACATATATTCATTAAGAGTTTTATCAACTCAACCTTCACAAACTACAGGAAACAATGCACTCACATCATAGGGAGGTGAAAAATAATGCATTTTTCACAACAAGTCATCATATGATTAGTTTTTCCCTTTGAACCTTGTTATCGGATCTCTTGTCCCCAGGTTGGGTTTCCTCATATATGACTCAAGGATTTGTAGGCTTCAATCTCACCCCCCTCGATGTGCTCCAGACTTTTTCTCTTGTTAACACCTTCGTAAGAGAATCTGCAAGATTATCACAAGATTTGATATAATCAACATTAATAGTACCATTTGTCAAATACGATCTTACATTACTGTGTTTCCTCCTTATAGGTCTGGATTTACCGTTGTAATAACGATTTTGAACTCTACCAATTGCAGCGGTGCTATCACAATGAATTAAAATAGAAGGAATTGATTTTTCAAAATAAGGAATTTGAAACAATAAATCTCTTAACCAATTCGCTTCCTCACTAGCTAAAACTAAAGCAATTAGTTCAGCCTCCATGGTAGATTTAACAATTATAGTTTCCTTTTTTTATCTCCACCAAACAGCACTACCACCTAAAGTAAAGATATAACCAGTGATAGAACAGGAATCACCTGACAAAGTGTTCCAATCTGCATCACAAAAGCCTTCAAGTACAAAAGAATATTTTTTTATAGAACAAACCACAATTTTTCGTTCCAATAAAATATCTCATAACTCTTGTTATAGCATGTCAAAGTTCATTACCTGGCTTGCTTGTAAACCTGCCAAGTACTTCTACTGCATATGCAATATCATACCTAGTGCAATCAGTCACATATCTCAAACTTCCGATTATACTAGCATATTCCTTTTGATTTATTATATCATTTTCAGTTTCAACAGGAAATAAGTGAACACTTGAATCAAAAGGAGTAGCAACATGCTTGCAATCATGAAAGTTATATTTTTTCAAAATTTTCTCAACATAATGTGACTGGTCAAGGAAAATCCCCTCACATGTTCCAAGAATAAAATTTGCCTCTTTCATATCAAAATGGCTTCTAAGAGCATTTTTAGCTTCATCAATAACATTCATGTTAGAGCCAAAGATCAACAAATCATCAACATATAAGCAAATGATCACATGTGAATCATACCAAGACTTATGATATATGCACTTATCACACTCATTTGTTTTAAAACCATTTTCAATCATGCAAGAATCAAACTTTTCATGCCATTGTTTTGGTGCCTGTTTCAAGTCATATAGAGATTTAGTAAGTTTACAGACTTTGCTTTCTTGGTCTGCTCCAACAAAACACTCGGGTTGGTCCATATAAATTTCTTCATTTAGGTCTCCATTTAGAAAAGCAGTTTTCACATCCATTTGATGAATTTGAAAATAAAAAATTGCAGTCATATCAACTAAAAGTCTAATGGATGTAATTCTTGTAACCGGAGAAAAAGTATCAAAAAATTCTAGGTCTTTTAGTTGTTTAAAACCTTTTGCAACTAGCCTAGCCTTGTATTTATCAATAGAACCATCCGGTTTCAACTTTTTCCTTAAGACCCATTTGCAACCAATTGTTTTACAACCCGGTGGTAAATCAACTAACTTTCAAGTTTTATTAGAAATTAGAGATTCCATTTTATCATTTTCAGTCTCTTTCCAAAAAATAGAATCATGTGAAGATAATGTTTCTTTCAAAGTTAGAGGGTCATTTTCAATATTAAACACATAAAAATCAGGACCAAAATCTTTTTCTACTCTAGCTCTTTTACTTCTTCTTAACTCAAAATGACCAACTTCTTTATTTTTCAAAGTTGAAGTAGAAGAACTAGGCAGTGACAAAATATTTTGTTCAATCTTTTGACCCCCACTATTTTTAGTATCAAAAGGAAAATTATTTTCATGAAAAATAGCATCATCAGATTCTATTACAATATTATCTTCAAGATTAAAAAATCTATAGGCTATACTATTTGAAGCATAACCAAGAAAAGCACAAGTAGTAACTTTCTTACCCAACTTTGTAATCTTGGGATCCATTAGCCTCACAAAGGCTAGACAACCCCAAACTCTAAGATATCTCAAACTTGGCTTGTAACCTTTTGACAATTCAAAAGGTGTCAATTTAGACTTTTTATGAGGCACACGATTCAACACATAACAAGCAGTTAAGATAGCTTCACCCCAAAAATTTAATGGTGCATGTGACTCAATAAGCATGACATTACTCAATTCAACCAAAGTTCTATTTTTCCTTTCTGCTACTCCATTAGAAAAATGAGAGTAAGGAGGAGTAGTTTCATGAATTATTCCCAATGATCTTACAAAAGAATTAAACTTATTTGATTCATATTCACAGCCTCTATCACTTCTAATTCTTTTTATTTTTCTTCCAAACTGATTTTCAACCCCGTTGAGGTAAGTTTTGAAATTTTCAAAAGCATCACTTTTATTTTTCATCAAGTAAACATATGTAAACTTAGAAAAATCATCAATGAAAGTGATAAAATATTTACTACCTCCACGAGTTAGAATTCCACCAAGTTCACAAATATCAGTATGAACTAATTCTAACAAATCAATTTTTCTTTCAACTTGAAAATGAGAACTTTAAGTGATCTTGACTTTACTACAAGCCTCACACTTTTTAAAATTCTTTTTAATCATTGAGATT